ATTGTGGTAATACTGCCCGTCATTATTATAATGATCTTGATGAGTCTCCAGAAAATAAATGTACGATCGTTACTAATAGAGTTTCTAGATCAGGGACTGTGAATGGACCAGGCAGTAGTCGTATAAGACGACGACCTCAATATTTAAATGATTATGTATGTGTTTAATTTACTATGCTTAATGGGATTACTCTTTATGTATTGAATTAATTCGATAAAATTTAAAAAGGGGGGTGTGATATAACAACTACAACTTCAAATGTACTTGCTAGATTGATGTATACAAGATGTAACAACGTGCTTCATGTTTCATGCTAATAATAAATACTAATCCTAAATAATGTTGACTTTGTTTATCATTTAACTAAAAGGTTATTAACTGGCTACAAAGACACAACAGTAAAAGTGACCTGTCCGTAACTGCTGACCACATTTCCTCACTCATGCCGTTGGTCACAAAATCGTGGAGCCCTTACCTCCCTAACCCACAATGGACTGTTGCAGGAATGATTTACTTCTATAAATCATCGGTGGTCAGTTTAAATGTGCTAAAATGAGCTGTTCTCTGCAATCACAGATAAAAGAACTATGGTGACTCAGGGGATGGAGCCTCCCGAACAGGTGAACCGGGTTCGAATCCTAGCAACGGCTGGTTGATACGAATTTCGCTCCCAGCTCGCACCAACCACGGTGCTGACGTAAAAAATCGCCAGTGGTAGTAGACCGATCATGGGTTAGAGTCCCTTTGCCGGCAGGCTAACAGTGAGAGGTTTTCCTCTCTATGTAACGCAAAAGCAGATTAGTTCCATCAAAAAGTCTTCCTCTGGGGGTGTGATCCAGGAGTTTTATTGTCTTCTGGATTAGTTCAAAATTGTAAGGCTAAAGAGATGATTATTAGTAGTCGCAAACCCAAAATATGGGTCGGCTGTTTAACGACGGTTATAAAAAATAAACAAGTTTAGTCATCATTTAAAAATAATCAAAACTTAGCTGTATTATTAGTAAGGGGTTACGGAAATTTTTTTTAAATAAAAATGTTTAATAGAAAAATGATTAACGGCTATAAAAAAATTCAAGTTGCAAAGTCCGTATTTTCAGGAAAAAAGTGAAGTTTAGGTACCCTCTTAATTGCCGCGTCATAAAGAAAACAAATAAATTTTTGAAAAAGAAAATTCTAGATAAAAAACAAAACAAAAAATATTCTTACTTTTTAAATGAAAGGTTCAACGCTATAAAATGCAATTTAACTTTCTCACAAAGTCGTATTTTTGGAAAAAAAGTGTCAGTAAAAGAATGATGTTCATTAGATATGATCTTTGAAACCTGCTGATATAACAAAAACGGTGTTAAAAGACAAGTTAATAAAAGAGAAACAAATTTTTCTTCTTCTGAGTTCTGAAATATAACTTTAATGATGAGAATTTTATTTTAAAGCAGTCGTTGAACAGCCGACTCAATTTTTTGGTTTTACGACTACTAATGTTCAACTCCTTAGCCCTGCAATTTTGAATCCAATCCAGAAGACAAGGGAACTCCTGGATCAAGTATCAGGAGAAATTTGCCTTCGTGGAGGACTTTTTAATGTAACTAATCCACATTAGCTTTGCATGGGGAGGAAAACCACGAAAATCTCCCAAGGTTAGCCTGACGGTAAGGGGACTCTAAATCATGATCCATCTACCACTGATAACGTCAGCACTGTGTACGGCTCGAATTAGGTGCGGGATTCGCCATCACTGGGATTCAAACCCGGTTCACCTCATTGGAAGAAGGCGAACGCTCATTTGTTCTGAGCCACTACGGCTCAATCATTTCAATAAGTAATATCACACATCCATAGCTCATTTGAATTTTTTTTTTACTGAACGAAAAAATCTTAAATATTCAGAGATAGAAAATTTCGCCAACTTTTTAGAATGTTTTAATTTGTACCACTGAAATTTAGCAATATTATAAAAATACGGTATATTAAGCTCACATTTTCATTAAGATACATAAGGGGATAATTAATAAAATATACCTTTGTTCTCACATAGTTATTTACTTTATAAAATAGTTGGATTTCATGACGAAAATTCTAACGAAAGCCAGAACGTATTCGCTAATATTGCATAATAATTGTAAATGAACGGCAGATGGACATAGATAACATCAGATCGTTTATAATCACGTGACTCCCTGGTTCAGATGAAAACGAAAGGAAGCATTTTTTGCTTAATAATTAGAAATTTTAAAAAGAATGATGAAATATTTTCTAGGAGTTATGAGAGATTATGAATCGATTAAGATTTTTAAAAAAAATTTTTGTAAGTGTCCATTTTTGCTACGACGAGTTGTACCGGCGATAAATTGTGCTCGTCACGATTCCGCAATAATCGTAAATAGACGCATTTCATGGATGTAACCTCAAAAATTGTGCTGTTTCTCATAAAAAGATAAAGGTTTCGCTTTCTTAAATTAATCGAAAAACGTGCTTAATAACTGTTTATACAATCTTTTGAGATTTATAATTACACATTTTAAATTAATAGAATCTCGCATCCATACCTACATTTAAACACTGATAACATTCTGTGGACAAATGGGACTACACACTTCACACATGCTCAAATTTCAATTATTTAAAAAGTGTTCAATGAGTAAAATTTTTGGATTTATATTTATTTATTTATTTTTTTGGTTTTTTACCAAATTTATCTCTGCAGTATAGACTTTATAAAATCCGTAAAAAAATCTGCGATCTTTTAACAAATTCGGACAAAATGAGGAGGCAAAAACTAATTCCAAGAGTTGAACAACAATGCATGCAAGAGTTCTTTTTAGTTGAGATTTTGTGCTCCCACAAAGCTTTTCATTTTATCTAAAACTGAAATGAACCATTCCTTTATCATTGCTATCTGAGAGAGGATGGGTAGGAACAATTAAAGTTTAAAAATAATCAATCTTATTTGTAAGAGTTTATCTACAGTAGGTAGGTAAGGCCTAAAGAGGTTATCATTGTCAATTGTAGAATCAATAATCTGGACTATCATTGTTTGTTGATATCAGAGGTAGGATGTGCGCAAACAATTCAAGTTTAACAACAAATCAACCTTATTTGGAACAATTCATGTAAGGACAAAACAGGTTTTCATTCGCAATTGATGAAACAATCATTGTTTGTTGCTATCTGAGGGAGGAGGAGTATGAATAATTCAAGTTCAGGATAATCAACCTCCAGGAAAGATTAGGATGTGTAGCAAAAAAGAAGTAATGAATTAAAAGTGGATTGAAGAACTGGTTTATAAAAAACTGGTGATGGAGAAATCACAAACCTAAAGAGTGGAGAGACTTAAATTGACCAGCAGTACAAGAATGAATTTTAAAACCACAATGAAAATAACTGAAAGGCTAGATCACTTTATTTCACAAAATCTTTTATTACACTCACTAGAAGAATTAAGTTACTCAAAGGCAAACACAATTACGCATAAGTGAAGAAATAAAAAAATCAACGAAAAAAATGTATTATAGGCATAAGTTACAAGATCAAGGTTTTTCATGAGTATGAGAGCAATTGTGTTTAGTTAGATCAGACCTATATGAAAAATTTTGAATACATATACTACAAGAATAAGATTTCTCACCAGAATGAGAACGACTGTGCATAGTCAGATTACTTTTCTCTGAAAAACTCTTATTACATATACTGCAAGAATAAGGTTTCTCACCAGTATGGGAACGACTGTGTATAGTCAGCCTACTCTTCTCTGAAAAACTCTTCTGACATATACTACAAGAATAAGGTTTCTCACCAGTATGAGAGCGAATGTGCACAGTCAGACTTCTCTTGTATGAAAAATTCTTATTACATATGCTACAAGAATAAGGTTTCTCACCAGTATGAGAACGACTGTGTATAGTCAGCCTACTCTTCTCTGAAACACTCTTATTACATATACTACAAGAATAAGGATTCTCACCAGTATGGGAACGACTGTGCACAGTCAGCCTACTCTTCTCTGAAAAACTCTTCTGACATATACTACAAGAATAAGGGTTCTCACCAGGATGAGTGCGACAGTGTTTAGTTAGTTTACTCTTTTCTGAAAAACTTTTATTACATACATTACAAGAATAAGGTTTTTCACCAGTATGAGTGCGACAGTGTCCAATTAGTGTACTTTTTTCTGAAAAACTCTTATTACATATACTACAAGAATAAGGATTCTCACCAGTATGGGAACGACTGTGCACAGTCAGCTTATCGTTCACTGAAAAACTCTTCTGACATATACTACAAGAATAAGGTTTCTCACCTGTATGAGTGCGACAGTGTCTATTTAGTGTACCTTTTTCTGAAAAACTCCTATTACATATACTACAAGAATAAGGTTTCTCACCTGTATGAGTGCGACAGTGCCTATTTAGTGTACTTTTTTCTGAAAAACTCTTATTACACATGCTACAAGAATAAGCTTTCTCACGGGTATGAGTATGATTGTGTTTAGTTAGTTTCCACCTATATGAAAAACTCTTATTACATATACTACAGGAATAAGATTTCTCACCAGTATGAGAGCGACTGTGTGCAGTTAGACTATTCTTCCATGAAAATTTTTTACTACACATGCTACAAGAATAAGGTTCCTCACTAGTATGAGAGCGACTATGCTTATTCAGACCACTCTTCTGTGTAAAACTCTTCTGACATATACTACAAGAATAAGGTTTTTCACCAGTATGAGAGCGACAATGCACAGTCAGATTACTATTGTTTGAAAATTTTTTATTACATATAACACAGATATAAAGATTCTTATTAGTATTAACATTGAGCCCAATCATGTCACCTTCTGCTAAAAAACTCATATTGTATAAAATGCAACTGTATTAATCTGTATATAGCTAATTATTATTTCAAAGATCTAAATATATTGCCATCATAAGATTTTTTAAGAGTGAAAACTCTTACAGCAAGAGCACCAAAAAATCTTTTTGGCAAGGCCAACTGGAGTTAGAAAGAGAGGCAGACCCCGACTGAGATGGGCGGAGTGCCTCCAAAGGGACTTTACCACAATCAAGGTCAGAGATTGGAAAGCCGTGGCACGCAGAAGAAAGGATTGGTGCAGTCTTCTTGAGAAAGTCAGGGTCCACCCAGGACTGTCGAGCTACTGATGATGAAAACTCTTACGACAAGTTAGAGTGAACAATCTTATGACAAGTTAAAATACATTTTTAGAAAAACATCATTAAAAATTTTACTCAAATGTCTCTCAGAACCCTCAGTTATGGATATTAATGACTATTACTGGATATAATATTAAAAGGGTAAAGCAAAAATAGTAATTAAATTGTTATAAATACATCTAAGTTTTACAATGGAATGAATATCAAAGTAATTCATAGTAATAAATACATAGCAATAAAAAATCATAGTAATAAAAAATGCACAGTATTTTTGTAGTCATATAAGATAATGAAAATGCCTTGCTTTCTCTGTGGCTAGCAGGCAAATTTGTGTGGAGACAAATTTTAAGATAACCTATTCTTGGCTAACATCTTTGGTTGTCTTCAAGTAGCATGAAATTCAGAACAATGCACATCCAACTATAAAAAGCAACATTGAGAAAAAAATTAAAAGTCATTAATGGTCTTATAATATGTTGCGCATTCAAATTTAATAAATTTTTTACAGGACAAAATTGTCAGCCAACACTGGCTATGGAGCGATTAAAAAATTGTCTTCAAGTCCTTACTTTGGACGTCAAAAGTGCCCCAAATGTCAAAAATACATTTAAATTATTATTTTTTAGATAAACTTTTCTGAAAATTCCTTTTTTGCAACTTGTTTCTTAAATTGATGCAGTATTAGGAATAAACTTTGTAAGGTTCATCATATTTTGGGAAAAGTTTAAAAAGAAAGCTTTACATTAGGATGTTATTTTAAAGTAATCAACTTTCAGGAAGGCTTGTCAGGAGCAATTATCGCGATTAGACTACACCATTAATCAATACACCAGGATTAAATTTGCACTTTTAAAATTAAATGCATAAATTTTTAAATATCTTAAGTGCATAATTTCTAAATATCTTATAAAGTAAAAGTACAATTAAATTGCATAAAATAATAAAAAATTCGCACTTTAAAAGGTCAATATACTTGCTTAATTGCATATGCTGATACTAATGGATTCTAGTTAAAAAAAGTTTCTGATACTTCTTTTCTTAGCGTTTTACTTAATTCCTATACCTATATATATTATTACCAGTAGAACTGAATTTCTTGAATTTTGTCAATTTTGAAGATTAGTGGGGATCTTCTACTTAGGTACCTTAAAACTGCTCCCCCCTGAAAAGAAGTACTATCTCTTCCATGTGCAGTATTTCCTTTGTCCACACTATTCTTTTCTTTTAGAATGCTTCACTCTCCTTATAGAGTATCATACTAGGCAAAGGGCAGAAGATATTAATGAAAGAACCAATATAGTATTAATAAAAGGATATGCTTTCTTCCATTTGCCTCTGACAACCCCCCCACACACATTAATTTTTGGCTCTTTAAAATGCTTTACCCTAGTTCTAAGTGATAAAAAAACGACATTTTGTTTTAAAAAATTGTTCCTATCAACTATAGTGATGCTAAAAAATTAAGGACTCTTAAGGACCCCGGGAACCCTGAATATAATAATTTTACTCAAATGTCTCTCAGTAGAATGAGTTATGGAGTTATTGTTGCATACTAATAACTATTACTGGATATATTAAAAGGGTAAAACAAAAATAATACTTAAATTGCTTTAAATACATCTAAGTTTTACAATGGAATGGATATCAGAGTAATTCATAGTAGGGTGACCCGGGGTAATTCATGATCACTCTGTTTCTGGGGTAAATAATGATTACCTAAGTTTTATTTTAAAAAAATAATTTTTTTCTAAACTTGAGACATGGACAAGAATGCTTGTACACTTTACTAAGATATAACTACATTTACTTAATAATAGTTTCTTGTTTAATCTAACAAAATAAGTATATTTAAACTGCTTTCTGTATTTTCCATTTCAAAGATGGGTTTGAAAAAGTGTTCATTTCTGCAAAGATCTCCCTCCTTCTCTTAATAATAAATATTTTGAGTTACTTTCTTTTTCTTTGATATGAAAATAGTGTAAGCTCTTGTTTAATTGTTTCACATCTACTGTAAACATTATAATTGATTATAGGAAACTATATCAAATGTTGCCCCCTACAGATGGGGTAATTATTGATCACTGGGGTAATTCATGATAATTGTCATTTCTTTTCATAAATAGTATTAAAATAAATGTCTTTTCCTAAGTAACAGTTCATATTTTTCAAATGAAACTATAAAATATATTTTAACTCAATTTAATCACAAAATTTGTTTTTAACCGTATGCTAGACAAACGTGTTCCAATTTGTTTTACCTTGCTTCTATCTTAATTTTATGTGTGTACATTGTTAGAATAATTTTTAAGTTTATAAATTAGCCTAATATAAATATGGTGAGAAATTATAAGCCTAAAAAGGATACAAAGCTTCTAGAAAGCAAAATTAGTTCTAGTAATTAAAATTTCTTAATTAGTAAATTTCATTTAGTGATTGAAAATGAAAATTTCAGTGTGAGAGCTGTTGACATTCCTTACTTAACTTTACACTCTCCCTTAATGAAGTTACAAAATCTAGCAAAAGTAACCCATGTGGGAACTCTTTCTTATATTCCAGCAGAACATGAGAATAAGTTAGCTGCTTGCCTAAAATGTATGGCAGGATACAAAGATTTTTGGAAAATTTAAAGTGCTAACCTTTATTTTTGCTTTTTAAATAAATCGTTTTATTAGCTGCTTAAACATATATTTTTGGTTTATTTGTTTGATCTTAATGTTTTATTTGTTAATTACCACTGCATAATTATTTTTAAACAGCCCCATTATGATTAAAACTGGTGATCAGTAATTACCCCAGAAGTGATCA